AGAGAGAGAGAGAGAGAGAGAAAATAGCGTTAGAAGAGGTCTTGGGCAAGCATGAACGGAAACGAGAGAGAGGCCGGGTGAAAGAACAAGCCAGCCGGAGGAATATCCGTTCGCTCAATGTGGTATGCACGATACTAAAACCTGGAGGGAAAGAGAGTAGAAGAGTTGAATGGTCTTGATGCTTGTTCAAGGTCTAAAACTTGGAGGAATATACAACGTCTGTGGAAATTCTACCGTAGTACGCCGTAGTTTCGTTCTGCTCGGTGGAAAGGTGGAAGAAACTCGTGGATACATCGTAATACGTCCGCTTTTATTACTGTTACAGTGCAACGTGTAACGGAGCACTGTATATCGCTTGCTTGGCCAAAATAGTTTGAGATTTTATCGGTTGTGCGAGCACGTTTGGATATTTCGAGTTGGAATGAGAAACGTCGATATTTTATTATCGATGTAAAACGTGTGAGTATTACGTGTGAAAATAAATATTAAAACTAGATTAAGACGAACGATATAGATCAATCCAATTCGAACAATTGCTCTCGAGAATTATTTTTGAGAATGAAAGTTATCCTAGAACAATCAAACCAACGTCCATCTTGAGAAAAACATTCTCAATTCTTCAAGATTTTACTCTCAAACTTGTTTTTATTAAGAATGTATGGCACCGAATGTGTTCAAAGATACCAATAAGTAAGGTTATCGTGGGAGTTTTAGTCCTTTCTGTTACTTCGATCTCCCCTTCGGAGATATTCATGAGAAGTTTTCTTAATTTAAGAAAAAAAAAGTTGAGATTCTGAAAATGTTGAAACTTTGTTTTTCAAGTCGAGAAGAAATCGAGTCGAATCAGGCAATAGAGAAAGTATCGATATCAGGAATCTCTGCTATTTTCAATCCACGAAATATTTTCGAATCATTGATCCTCGAAAAAAAATCATTGACATATGACACGATTCGATTTTCCAGAATCCTACACATCCTCAGTTACTTTAAACGAACTCTTAATCTGATTACAATAATTCAATTGAACATTGACCGAAAATCTGATTTCTGAATGATTATACGAGAAAGAAAAATTTCAAAATTGATCATATCCTGTGTTTAATAATTCGATGAGCTTTAAAAAAAAAAAAAAAAAAAAATAGCGGGAGTCGCTGTTTAAAATGAGCAAGGTACTCGAGACTTCGACCTTGAACTTGTAACACATATACGCTTTCGTAAATTCTTAATACAGGTCAGAGAACTGAAATTAAAACGAAGAGTCATTCATAAATTTATTATTCAAAGTAAAAATTTCATCGATATCTTCGATTTCGTAATTAATACGGATTGTTATGAAAATCAAATATATATATATATCGTATTTATTATATTTATGGACAACGATGAATCGACACCAGAAAGATAATTTATTATTATGCATCCTCCCCGCGTTATTTCGCGTCGGTGCAAACAGCTTGATTAATGAAGCTCGAAGCTACGGGTAAAAGGGATTACGTCGATAATCTCGTTCGATATCCAACGCCTTTGAACATATCGATCGCGGTGTTATTAATCGCGGTGATTCCATCCCCCCCCCGTCTTATTCGCGCACTTTCCGTCAGCAGGATCGTTGAGTCGAGGAACTTTTTAAAGTTCCTCCTCGTGTCTCATCGCGTCTCGTTCAACAAAAGAACGTGTCCATAATAATGGAAATGAATAATAACGATTCGACTCTTAGATTCTTAACTGTGATAATTGGAAAAAAACGAGTTAATTGAGCAAGGCTGGTAATTTTAATTATCCACGAATTTATTATTTTCCATCTTTTATAAGATAAATTACGTTATATATATTCCGTAATAATTCGCCTCGATTTGAGTCCAAACTAGGGACCGATAATAAAATAATTAAGCATTTAAAGTAATAATAAGAAGATACT